CACGTGATGGCACGGATGAGCAGGATAACTCCAGCAAGCAGTGGTGAGGGGCTGCTCCTGAGTGGCGTGAAGGTTGCCCTCCGCATTTTCAGGGGTTAGGCAGTCAAGTTTGAGGGGGTGAGAGAGGCTTCAGAAGACAATGGAGAGTGGTGGGAATGTTTCCAATTGGAGAGGGCCTTCCCTCTGCTTTGGATAGCTACTCCTCAGTTCTGGAATGTAGGTCATGTGTAATTTTGGCCCACAAAGCCAGATCTCTGATTTCTTTAAGAAACCAGAAATCTGGAGTTGTATGTTAAATCTTCCCCACTTTTTTTTTCTTCTCCTAAATGCTAGCAACTAGTTTATTTATTTATTTATTCATTTGTCCTCTGTGAGCCAGCTTTGGCCAAGTCCTACCAGTTTTGTGATACTTGGGCAGAGAATTGACCAAATCTTGGGGTAAATGTGAATGGTCCTGTGGTTGGGCTTCCCAGCCAGGCCTAGTGGCTCTTATGAAATTAACCTGATTAATCAGAAAGAAGATGTAGCAATTTGTGACCTTATTTTCTGACTTCATGATCATTTCCAGTTCTGTCAGAGGTGGTCTCTGTGTCCTCCATTCTTGTCTTGCTTGTAGGGAGGAATTGAAACAAGAGATAGTACCAAATAGAAGCAAAGCATGTAAGAGTGTATTTGCAAGAACAGGAAATACACTCAAAGATAGTCCAAGCAGGAAGCTTAGCTGGCCAAAACTGAACCAAGTGCCCCACTCATTTGGAGTTGAGTTGAAAACCTCCTCAGGTTTCAAGGATGTCTCACCAGGATTAAAGCTATAGACCACATCCTGGAGGATGTTTCAAGTCTCTCCCTTCTCACTCTTATGTCTTCTAACTCTTGGTTAATTCTTGTTTGTTACATCTCCCCTGTGTTCCTCTTGCTGGTAGCCATCTATCCGGCTCCTGTCTCTCTAGCTCTACCTACCCTGCCAGTTCTAGTGACATTTCCTTTGTTAATGCTTTGCTAACATAATGACCTGCCATATGGATGACAAGGGTATGGAGGGAGGGGTGGTAAAATGGAATATTTGATCATTTTAAAAACAATTATCTACACACAGTCACAGGATTTTCAAACAGACTTTTTTCTTTTAAGTCTCTTTTGTTTGGTCCTCAATCTGGAATACCTGAAGGCTAGTTTCCTGGCCCTCTGCAAGGTCCATTTAGCCCACAGCAGCCAAGGGTCACAACATTTTATGCATCAGTTTGGCCTTAAAAACTATATGGGAAAATTACAGTAAAAATAATTTTTCTCAGGGCTCAGAGCATGTAGAAAGTCAACACAATTCTCGACCATCTGACTCCGAGTAAAATTGTATATTTAACTTTAGATTAACCCAAACAGACCTAATAAATTCACCAACAGACGCCTATTAAACTACCTTAGGGTTTTTCATGAATTTTGTGGGTTAGGAAAGAATAGGATTAAACAACTTTATAGTAATAGTGTATTTTACAAAGGGCATTTCTCTTCAGGCTAAGCATAATGGAAAGTTGAGACCATTAGATGGAAAATTCAGGCATAATAAGCTTCCTTCTGAAGTAAATTACTTACTTTTGTTTAGAGTTCTCATATTGACAGTCTTTCCACTATCTAATTTTCTGGGTAGCTGCTTTAGTCTGCCATGTTAGCTTCTATAAACGGGGTTACAGAGAGGGAAACCAACAAATGCCTGCAGATGCCCCAAAACATTTTTAAGTAACACTTAAAGTTTCAAAGATTACCTAAACAGTATCTTTAATCACCGCAGCCCAGCCAACTCAAGGTTTTGAAGCACAGTGGAAAGTTCTTGTTTGCTTTTTTTCTCCCAGCAAATCCAATTGCTCTTAGAGGGGATAGCCAACCTATGTTCTACAGGATGGAAAATGACAGGGTGATTGAATTGGGGTCTCTCCACCAAGTAATCACTTCAATAAGAAAATATATTGACTATATATTTACAACGTTTAGAGCCCAAAGTTGTGTTGGAAGGGAGCAGCTATACATCAAAGCCTCAACTGAAGAAAATCGTAAGGTGTTCGTGTGGACTGGCCAAGATTAACTGGTACTGCCAGTACACCCTCACTCATATGATGTACATGCTAACAACTTGATGGTGTGATGATAGAAAGACACATGAAACAGCTGTGTTTTTTTTCCTGGCGTAGAGCCCTATTCTAAACCTGGAGATATTTAATTTTTTTGTTAATCCTCACTGAGGGTATTTTTTTCCATTGATTTTTAGAGAAAGTGGAAATGAGGGAGGGGGAGAAAGAGAGAGAGAGAGAGAGAGAGAGAGAGAGAGAGAGAGAGAGAGAGAGAGAGAGACAGACATGGATTGGTTGCCTCCTGCTTGCACCCTGACTGGGGCCCAGGAAAGTACTCTTAACTGGGAATAGAACTCAAGACCCTTTGGTCCTTGGGCCGATGCTCTACCACTGAACCACACCAGCCAGGCTAAACCTGGAGATATTTAATAACCTGTCTCACCCATGATCTTGGGTGTAGGGATTAAAAGAAGGCACTGAAATGTATAATAAGTATATTTATTCTGCATGCAATGCTCTTCCTGCCTGCCTCTGGGGTTGAGAATGTTGCATCTAACCCAATTTTAAGATGGAAAAAGATAAAATCAGGAGATATAGCAAAATAGCAGAACTTTATTAGCTTGTAGGACATTTGCACAAAAATGAATGCAGTTGTGGAAGGATAGAATTCATTTGTCATGTCAAGAAAAATTAATCTTTAAAAGTATACACATATTCCCAAAGATTGCTAAAGAAATGAGACTCAGGTCTTTTGAGTCCCATTATTCTTCCATTACATGCTGCAAACTCTCTGAGGTACTGTGCTCCTGTATAACACCGTGCTACTACTCTGGAGCTCTTGGTAAATGTTGCCGCTTCCTCTTCCCCATATACTTTCTCATCTAAAATATAACAGCCAACTGATGTTTGGTTTATGTTTTACTTAACTCTTATTATTGACTTCACCTCTTCATTGTTATACTGAACACAAACTATGAGAAACAAATATGAGTACTTCAAGCTTCTTCACTTTGGGGTGAGATTCTCCAGAATAGAAAGAGCTGGAAAATGGATAGAGGAATGGGCTACTATGTTTAACCTGTGTATAAATACAGGTTTATGTCTCTTGGTAATAGATCACCCCTTTGAACAAGTCATCATTTAAAGTTTAATTTTAATCTACACATCGGAGCCGAAGATACGGAATTGCTTTGGCTGTTCTTTCAGCCTTCTCCCTCTTTGATTTTTAAAATAAAGCCAATTAATTAGTGTGCACTTTTCAACTGAATAAAACGATTAAGACCCAGCGGTAACTGTAAAATTATAAGTTGTAATGTAACACTACGGACTTGTTAATGCTTTTTTTGGCATGACAAAGAGAGACATGGGTATCTTATATTAAGTGGTGTTCAAAAAAAGCATAAGTTAGCAGTTTGTTACTAAGTTTGACCTTTCTACACACAAATCTTAAATGATTGATGGACTGATGTAAAATAGCTTTGTTCAAAAGACATCATCTTTGGCAGGCTACTTCTAAGGCTTTACTACTTCGGAGAGATGAAAAGATATCCCCATTTTACATTAACTTCCCTGATAGATCAACACTTGTTTGAAATATGCCTCAGAATTATGTGATATTTACTGTTTTAATAGTCTTCTTTCTCTGTATCCAGCTGCTCTACATGGAATGGTTTTTCCTTCTAAGATTTAGAGTTTTTTTTCTACACATAAAGAGCATCTTTATGAAAATACAGATGGGTAGAACAGTATACCTGGCATTTTTATCCATGACTATTTCATTGCAAGGTGGTATGTGAGACTAAAATGTACAGGGATATGCTTTAAAAAAAAAAAATCAACCCTCCCATTTCAAGATATGGCTTCAAATTCTCCCTAGAGTATTCTTCAAGGTCTGAAAAGAGCCATTTACTTCTTTTTAATCACAGATTCGATTCTGTAATTTTATGTATGTCTAAGGTCACTATAGAATTACTATGGAATTACAGAAAGCAAGGGTGAAAATCTCAACTAAAGGGTCAAGCAAGTAATGGAAATAGTGAATGGGACTAGTTATAGGTATAGGAGAGAGGGAGAGAGAGTGTGTTGGGGGTAGAGAGGAATGTGGTACCTGAGAGGAACTGTTATTTAGGACAATATGAAAGATATTCTGGCCCTAACTGGTTGCTCAGTGGTTAGAGCGTCAGCCCTCAGACTGGAAGGTCTTGGGGTTGAATTCCTGTCAAGGACATGTACCTCAGTACCAGTTGGGGTGCATGCAAGAGGCAACCAATTAATGTGTCTCTCTTGCATGATGTTACTCCCCCTCCCTTCTACGCTCTCTAAAAATAAACAAAACAGAACAAAAATACTTGGGTGAGAATTTTTTAAAAAGAAGAAGAAGAAAGATATTCTGATTTGTGTAAAGTTTAGAAATCTCCTAATTTTTTAATACTGGCAACTACAAATTTTTGAAAGACCCTGGGCTGGCCAAACAAAACACGTCTGAGGGATGTCTTGCTGCTAAAAACCTGCTGAGAAGGAAAAGGGATTTACACCTTAAAAAAAAAAAAGTTTCTTCAGTTCACATTTTGAGGGATGCCGTTTCATAATTGTGAAATAGCCGCCGATAATAGCCTATTATAGGCTGAGGACAGAGGAACTAAGGCTCTCTGTCACATGTCTGGGAGAAGCTTTGCTAAAGTGTGCGGATGCCTGGGGAAGGCAGGTGTGCCGTTGGGTGATAGATAGATACAGGTTCCTTATGTAAAACACAATAATCAGAGAATTCACAATGGAAAAGATGGGAAGCGGAGACCTCTTTTCTCTTAGCTTTATCTTCAAGGCCATTTCATTTTTATGGAGCTGAATAAAGCTGACTTGCAAAAAGAGAAAAAAAAAATCCTCCTTTGCTCTTTGGCAGGGTGAAGTAGAGAAAGAAAGTCTCCCCGCTGAACTACTATGAGGCCAGAAGCCTTGCTGCTATATCTCACACTGCTACACTGCGCTGGGGCTGGCTTCCCAGAAGATTCTGAGCCAATCAGTATTTCGCATGGCAACTGTAAGTACCCACAATCCCACTCTCTCCCTTTGTGGGCACGGTAGCCTGCATCAACCAGTAAAACATTAAAAAGTTTAACAGAACAGGAGACTCGTTGGTCACTTTGAACTTGTGCAGGTGGCAAAGTTAATTCAAGTCGGTGAGATGCCCGTTCTATAACTTCATTAAATGCTGTCATAGGACACATACGTGTGAGCATTTGAAACGTTCCTCAGTGCTTTCGATGAAGTCTCCATTACCACATGGAGGCTGTGGTCCAGCTGGAAACCAGCTGTGGGACAATATCACTGTCCCTTGAGGATTACTAGTATTGCACATTCTCATGTGTAATTAACATATGAATTTGCTAGGAGATAAAGACAGGAAATAGTAAGGCTGCTTTGGAGCATTCTAAAGACAAAAATTAACTTTTTTTAGACTTAGAAATTATTTCTTTGGAGGAATGCTTGTGCTAGATTTAGGTAGAGTGAATTTTAATCCCAAGGGCCTGTTTTAACTGTTTATCTAACTTTCCTTTTGGTCTGCTTCATTGACGAGGATAGAAAGCAACATGACCGAGAATTTAGTTGACTCCTCAAATGAAGAAAATATACCTGCATATTGGATGGAACAGCCAATTTACTACTTTTTTGCTTCCCTCCAAAAGACAAAATATTTTATCACATTAAAAATGAAAGAGGGCATTTTCCCCAAATATATATTTTCTCAGTAATTATACCAAAACAAACATAAAATAAACCATACAAAAGGTGTTTAAACTAATATTGAATACTAATACGATCCATTAATGCCCATCTTTCTGCTGGATGGTCTGGGATGAAAAAGGTAATTTTATCAGGTGAGGTGGCAAGGCTGATACATAAAACAATGAGAAGTCAGAACATGACTGAGGCCAAATTATATAGTTCAAGATCATCATTCTTGCAGTGACAAATTCCACCTAATTCAAGGCACCAAACCTTAGTAAGCATTAGTTTAGCACCATTTGAGATAGGTATACAGAAGAGACCCCAGCCCAAATGTACTGCTCAAAAGGATACTACAGTGAGCACTTGGACCTTGATACCAGAGAGACATGATTCTGCTTTAGTAAGCTCATTAATGAATGGGTAAATGAAATTTCAGAGCAGTGGGGAGAAAGGCATGAGATAATTCCATACTAAAGCTTAATTGTGAGTAAAATAACTGTGGCTCTTGAATAAGACACCCACTGTGAGTCATGCCCAGATACGACTGAGGTTTAAAGTGAGGGATCTGAGCATAAATCTGTGAACAATTTTCGAGTCATTATATACCTCCCCAACCCCCTGAAAACAAGTGCCTTTTAAAGGTGACTCGTCGTATGTGAGTCCTTAGTTTCTTTGGAGGAATGCTTGTGCTTCGAAGTTTGTAGGATGAAAGGCAGAGAAGTTTTTGAGATGTAGGTATGTCTAAAGGTCAGGCATTATTACAAATTGCCCACTGTCAACCAGAGAGAACTGTGAGAAAGGAGAACTAGGCTCACCCACTCTCCAAGCCAGGGAAAGTCCAGGTCACCGACTGGCTACACTCAGTCTGACCTTGTCCTGTCAAACTGCCCGTTTCTGTGAGATCAACCAATTGCTTAACTCAAGAGCGAACTTCCCACAGTTCCTAGAATGCCAACCAACCTAGCGGGGCCGCCTTCAATGGCAGATTATTCCAACTGGACGCCTGCGGAGACTGTATTTTTCTTCTGGCTCCTGGTCCAGGGCTCTCGCCTCCAGACCACATTGCCTTTGTGGTGATTGATGGGAAGGCCGCTTTGAAACAGTTTTGTCCCGAGACAAGATCTTTGGCAGGCTGCCCCCCAGGCTTAGCGCTCTAAAGAAGATGAAAAGAGAACTGGGGAGAAAGAGCACCTTCATGTAAAGGGTTCACTTGCAAGTTTAAGCCCCAGGAAGAGGGACAAGTCAGAAACAGTGACACTTAGAAATACAAATGGCAGGCTTATTACCATCTGAAAATGAAACCGTAACATGATCATTCTCTTAAAGAGCACGCTTCTGTCATAATTTTTCCTAAAATAACAGACTCATTGGAGACGGAAAATGGTGGCATGGTCTGACTTAAATATGGTTTTGTTTTGTAGACAGCCCCCTTTGTCCCCTTGCCCTGTCAATTCCTGGCTTGATTTCCTTTTCCCTTTGCTGCCCCATCTCCTCTTCTCACAGATACAAAACAGTATCCGGTGTTTGTGGGCCACAAGCCAGGACGGAACAGCACACAGAGGCACCGACTGGACATCCAGATGATCATGATCATGAACAGGACCCTCTACATCGCTGCCCGGTGAGTGGCTTGCTCCACGGCTCTGCTTCCCAAGTGGCCGGAGGTCCTAGGATACAAACGGGCCCGCTGTGCATCTTGTTAAGGATCATGACATTCCCAAACAGAGCGTTATTTAATGTAAAGGCTACTTTAGCGTGTCAAGCAATCATTCTTTTGAGATTTTCTGTGTCTGTCTGACGTGGTACGGCTTTAGATAATTGCCTATTTGGGATTTTAGACTCAAGTAATCCAATGTTTTTCTTGAACATATATGCAAATATTTACTCGAGCACTGAGTAGAGTGCCTTTTCCTTGATACTTGTTTGTTAAATTAAGTTGAATGTGTAAACATGTATTATTATAGTGTGTGTGTGTGTGTATTAAACCTGTTTGTATTTCTGCAGTGAGTGGATAGTATATATCATTACTTTAACGGATTGGCAGTAGCACCCAAAGAGTCTTTGAGTTGGATCTAGTAAGAAAATATTCATCCACTGGGGAAATGTCATTAAAACACATCCTGTCTTAAGGCTGACAGGCTTGGTGGTAAGAAAACTGCCTACACAGGCATCATGTGGGTTTAGGCTTTTGTTTTAAGTTCGCTCTTGATTTACCTGGAATATTTCTCTGTCAAATGAGAGATTGGGAAAGATTATCTTAATGAAGTCTCTTGGGATTCTAACAATGTCTGGTCCCCTTTTGAAGGTGTGTAGCTCATTCAAAATAATTTCTAAATGAACAGCAACAAGGAACACCATCATATGAAATTCCACTGTGGTCTTACTGAGTTTAGATTGATTAATAATCTCACAGAGGGAGAAAGAAATAAAGATTGTGTTTGTGGTTCCTGTCTGACTGTGAGCACAGGTAAAGAACAGATAAACAGCAACAGTGGTTGATTCGTTTAAAGCACATAGATTTTCTGAAAAGACAAGCTGTACAAAATAAAATAAGAACAACAAAACCATTGGTGACATTAAAATATCTGTTAAGTACCCCATATTTGGTCACAGGGAGAAATGCTAAAATACTTTTTTTTAAAAATTTCAGTTAAAAAAAACAACTATATAGTACATACTAGTTGTATGTGCCATATAAATTGCATATATAATTTTATGTTCTTTATAAATGTTAATTCATTCGATCCTGAAAGAAAGTATATGAGAAAAAAATATTATTATCCCCATGTCTTATGGGAAGAAACCAAAATACAAAATTGGTAAATGATTAGGTCCAAATGACAGAGCAGGATTTGAACCAGAATGGTCTTGCCTAGAGTCTGGGTCATTACTCCCTATACTGTACAGCCAAACTGAGCAGTAGAGGTGATAGATAATATTTGTCCTGAGAATTACCTTCTAAGAGCTATTGCCCAAGAACATCATCATTGCATGCATTCATTAAAAAACAAGGTCTTCAGTAGACATGTCTGTGGGAGAATATTAACTTATTCTTAAATATCACATTTTGTTTCCTAAGACTACATTTGTATCCAATTATCTAAAAGCTAAATTTAAACATTGGATCTGTGAAAAATAGGCTGACTCAATAATGTTCTATAGGTTGTTCACTTTGCAATGGAATCTCTGGTGTGATGTGCCTGATGACTTAGCTTGGCTGTGGGCTGCAGTTCCAGGGTGTACCTGAGTTTGGAGCAAAGTGCTATGCCAACTTAATCCTGACCATTATCCCAGCTGGTTAAAACTGTTTTACACCAAGAAAAGGAGAAAGAAGAAATGGAAGGCGGAGAAGAAACACATTCAATTTTTAAAAACTATGAAGCAGACTTGCCTTTTGTTAGAGATAAAATTTGTGAAACCCTAGCACTGACCAGCTGCTTTCACTCTATACTCAACCACTGCCCTTCAATACACACACTTGGAAGATTCCTAAAGGAGTTCTGTGGCTGCCATGTTTAGGGTCTCTTCTCACACTTGAATTTCACACTTTCCATCATTCTTTGAGAGATCCAGGTTCCTAGGCAGCAAGTAACATGATTTCAAGTCAAATTCTTCTGCCAGGCTCAAGCCATGACAACACAATTCAGTGCTACTTACTGGAATGGGGAAGAGGAAGTCCTAGGATTAAGTCAGTTTATGTTCAAATAACTTAATTCAATAAGAGCTATGTATGAATCCTAGGATGTACTGGTCACTGCTTAGGAATAACCTTTGACCCTGGACTGTTTCTGCTTGCTGGGCAATATGATCTCTTGGGTACTGAAAAAGATTGCATTGTCCAAAAGGAGATTTCATTCACAGACTGTATTTTTAAAAGGCTTCCCAATTCTTCTAGACAGTTGATGTCAGAGATCGGAAGCACCATCCAGAACCCGGGGAATGACTGAACCTTGATGGCAAGAACCCCTTTCAATTCTGCTTCATTATTATCCATTTTGTAAATTCTTTTCTTCCTTTTAATCTCTAAACTGCTAATTAACATAAACAGGTCATGCCAGGAGGGGGCAATCCAAGAGCTTTCTGAGGAATTGCCAATGCATATTAATCAGCTGTTAATTTACAATTCATATATTCGGCTCCTACTTAAAGTTTTGAAGAGAGGCAGGGCAAAGAAAACCTGGAGTCATCTCAAACCTGATTCCAGAGTCATAGAGGCAATTCCATTCCAATAATGAGCCTGACCCACAGCACCACCAATAAAGTCAAACAAGTAATAAAGGAATGCAATAAAACTGCCTGGAAATTAAAGGGCAGCGAAATTCTGGCACCCTACTGAAGTTTGAAGAACTTCAATTCAGCAATTTACAAAGCAGGCTCCCTATTCTCCCCCTCACACATGCTCATTCGCACTCTTTCATAGCAGGCAAGGAAATTTTCTAAGCCCACTGCCTTGCCCTCCTCTTTTATTTTCACACGAGAGAGTCTGCTTTTACTTTTATTTTTATCTATTGTACCTTCCCTTAAAATGGTTGCAAAAAGATTTCGAAAATATTGAGAGGAAAAATGGGGTGGGGGGTAGGGGGTGGGGGAGAGGGTTTGAAGTAAATCCTGACAGATGATTCCTTTCTTTCCTTTTTTCTTTCTTCCCTCCCCCTTTCTTTTAAGTAATGAGGGACCTAAGAGTCTGCCTGGGAGCCTGGAGGTCTTGGTTTAAAGCTGTGGGTAATTTTCCAGCCTCAGGACTTCCTGCATTTTAGAAAAAGTCAATGTTATTTCAAAGGAAAATGAGCTGTTTTGCTTTCCCTCACTAACCCCCCATCTCCCCAGTTGAGTGTAGTTCTTTTCTTCTCTTTCTTCTGAATTTCAGACAAAAACACCCTTGTACTCAGCTCAAGCAGAAGGGGATGGTTAAATATAGCCCCACACCTGAGCTGCCGATTTCTCTCCCGCTTCCTAGGGGAGATTGGCAGCGAGTCACAAAGACAACCAAGTTCTCAGCGAAACAGGAAGGTGAACAGAAGCAAGAAAGGAAATTTAGGCTCAAGTACATTTTAGACCTTAATGGACCGTCCTTGTGTGAAGAAGGGAGTGACTTCTGGAAATAATTTTCCCTCTATCATCTTCCATCTTGCCAATCACATCGCCAAAGCGAATGCTGAGAGATAGAGACGAACATTAGCTTTGGTTCGCCCCCCCCCCCTCCCCCCCAAACAGATGCAGCGTGCTGAATACCAAGTGTCTGGTGCATGGGTTTGAAGATGCTGAAATGTGAACCCATCTGTATTACAGTTTGGGGGCCAGCTTAACTTTTATAATCCCTTCTCCTGAACTATGATATGCAGACGTTACAATGCTGATATGAGAGAGAATGCCGGAGAGTTTTCATAATAGATGCTACCACATCCAAAGGTGCTGAAAGCTTTTCCCGCTTCCTTGCACGTGGGTGTCTTATTGTTTTATAGCGGGATATGGATTTATCTGCCTTGGGTAAGACAGATACTCATTCAGGAGAAAATGAACTGTCTTGATGCTTATGTTTGACATTGTATTCATTTTTCTTTGTTTACAGGGACCATATTTATACTGTTGATATAGACACATCACACACAGAAGAAATTTATTGTAGCAAAGTAAGTATAATAGTTTTAAAACCATCTTTCTGAAATGAAGGACTTTAGGATAATTTGTGAAGAGAATTTATATTTTAAATGCACGGATTGAGAGGACATGGCCAATTATAATTTTGTGAGATCTTAATTTGGGGCTAAGTTAGGACTTTGTATATGTTCAGAAACAGTTATATATGTCATATTTTATTCATCACATATGTGAACATACACATTTTGGAGTCTTGGGTAATTCCTATATTCCTTCAATAAAATGTTGCCATGTTTGTCCAGGAAAATATCAGTTTTCATGGGTAAAACTTTGTCCCACAAATGTTTAAATGTTCTGTTTTCAGGTCTTGCAATATTAAGTTTGATTTGACTGTTGTGGCTCAGGAATTTGATCATTATCCATTTCAGACAGACATAAAATATAGCCTGGGCTCCCCTGATATCTCCACATGGAGGTATTTTAGTTAATAAAATCTGCCATAGACGTAGACGGCCCCTTCAGTGCATGAATGTACGTGGCGTCCAGCCTGAATTAAAGCTTTGTCCACCTAAAGTGAATGTCTCCTTTATTTTTAAGAAAATGACTTCCATATTTTAAGGAAAAAGCCTGCTTTATGAAAATTGATTTATCAACTGAAAGGAAAGGGCAACTGCATGTATTTTGTCAAAATGAGCATAGTTTAGCAAGTTAATTTGGGTATTTTATGTGAAATTTCCACAGTTGTTTATTCTTTTTCCTCTATCTGTATCTCAAAGAGAAGATCATTTTGTAGTTTAATGAATACATAGGAGTTCAAAATGAAATGAACATGTCCATCTTTAATCTTTTCTTGCTATGGTGAATTAACCATGGAGAAAGGGTGTAGAAAGCTTTCAATGAATGTATGTTCAGTCTCTAGTCTCCCCAAGGGAATTCTTACTTCTCAAATCAAAGGCAACAATCTCTGGGCTCTTGTTGATTTCTTTCTTGGTCCCTGCAGAAACTGACGTGGAAATCTAAGCAGGCTGATGTAGACACGTGCAGAATGAAGGGAAAGCATAAGGTAGGCCACTTTCCTTTCTCCTGCAGCTGCCACTTTGGGTTAAGGTTTGGACTGTTATCTCTAGCCATAGACCGTGATGTGGGATGGATCACGCTAGTAGTCCCTTTACCACCAGTGACTGCTTTTCCCATCATCGTACTGGAGGCTTTAATTTGCAAAAAGAGTTGGCTTTCAATGTGATGAAACACGGGGACATCAGCTAGGGCCGCATCACGAACTACTTAGGGGCACTGGGGACTGCGGACACAAAGCCAGCTGCCCTGACTCTAAGTGCACTCTCTAGTAGCCCAGCCACAGTCCAAAGCCCCCAGGGACTCTGCAGAATAGCTCCGGAAAGGCTGCTGCAGGCACACAGGGGTTGTGCCTTTGGCCACAGAGCCACATAAAACCACACTTCAGCCTAGTGTCCTCCTATCTATTAAGAAACCTGATGACATCTGGCATTAAATTAACACAATGGGAAGTTGCCAATTCCAAGCTTGCCTTCCTTTTGTGACGTAAACACAGACTCTACGCCATGTCTTTACTTACTGTTCTAAAAGCAATTGTTGTTGTCAATATCATCTTCCCATAAACATGTGGTGGAGCTCGAACTTTTAGCAGACGGGCACCTCAGCCACCCTCCTTTTAACCTGACTGGCTAGATCACCGTACACAGCGAAGAACGGGTTTCTGGGTTGAAGGGATTGAATACAAAGGAGTCTCAATTATTTTTCAGGATGAGTGTCACAATTTCATTAAAGTTATTCTAAAGAAAAACGATGATACCTTGTTTGTCTGTGGAACTAACGCCTTCAACCCTTCCTGCAGAAACTATAAGGTGAGTGCGATTTCGTCTGCTGGAACCACATGTCCTGGAGGTATTTCATAATTCACTGGGATTGTACCGGCAGCAACCTAAGAGGGGTAATTCAACACTACCTGGGCTCCTCTCTCTTGTTGGACTTAATGTATTGTTCCCCATGAGTGATCCTGAACAAGCTTCTAAGCTTCCTGTTAGTTCAGGATTGATTGACAGGTCTTTAAAGAGCCTAGCGAGCAATGTTGGTTTCTGTAAGACCCTATTCTTTATTGTTCAGAACAGCAACATACCTACCACACATACCATATGGATTTTCTCTCTCTTCCTTCCTCTTTCTCCCTCCCACCTCTCTGAGCACAGAAACACACTTATATGTATTGTGAGTCATTCCTATTTTTAAAGGTATCTCAAAAGCAGGCCATTGGAACCTGTAGACTTAAAATTTTCAAGAACACAAGAATTTAATTATATTTACTACTCTGCTCACTTAACCATGTCCTTACCTGCCTTTATGCAAGGGGAAAAAATTAACTCTCAAAGCCTTATTAATTTGGATAGTTCTGGTAGAGTTGTTGCTGCAGAAGTGGGAGCTACCAGCTGCAAAGGAGACGTGGCAATGATCTGAGGTCCTGGCTCCACAATTGCCAGTTCTCCCTGACCCTTCTTTCTGTTACAGTCTTTTACTCAGCATATATTGAGTTTCTCCTCTGGCCAGGCCAAGTTTAAGGACAGCTAAGAGGCCTCCATCCTTAGGGAAGCCAGACTGGATGAAGAAACCACAATTCCACAGGGTTGCTGCCATGGCAACATAAGGCAGAGTATTATGGAAGTACAACAGAAAAGTACTTAGCCTGAGATGAGGAATCTGGGAAAACTTCCAGGTAGATGAAAGAGGTAGATGACCCCTCTCTTCAAACATCCCCCCACCCTGCTGTTCTTACATATGGAACACAAACACCTGCCGCTTAGAAGAAACCCCTAAACTGTGAGTGCAGGGACCACACCAGTGCTTACCCAGAACCTGACATAGTGCTCAATTAATTTTTGTGAGACAGTGAATGAGATAATCCTAAGCTTTGTCTTAAAGAAGTAGAAGTTAGCCAAATGAAGGGAAGGGCAATCCAGGTAGGCGGGACAGCATTAACTAAGGCATGGAGTAAACCCGGTCAGGTGAGCTGGGGAACCTTCATTTGACCCCAAAGTGATGGACTGTGAAGTGACAAGTAATAACAAAAAAGAGACTGGAGAAGTAGGTGGCCCAATGGGTGAAAGGAAGAGAACAGGTTCAGGAAAGGAAGAGAACAGGTTCAGTGACAAAAATCAATAGGACTCAATAACTGCTAAGAAGCACAGGATAACGAGAGGGAAGAGTTAAGAATCACCAGTAGGTGTCTCTTGGGTGAATGGATGAAGTAGGCTGTCCTGCTTAGACAAGGGATGAAGGAAGAGCATTCGGGTTGAGCAGAGTAGTGAGGAGACAGGGTTCAGTTTTGTGCATTATGAGTATGCATAGCACCATGGATGGCAATGCCTATGAGACATGAACAAAGATATCTAACAAGAAGCTGGATGGCTAAGCCTTGACTTAGGGAGAGATGTGGGGAGTAGTAAAGATTTGAGTTTCACCAGCATAAAGTGAAACCCTGAGGGATGACAGTGAGGAAAGGTATCAGAACCAGGGGGTGATACCTTTGCTTGCACAGCTTTCAGAGACCTTCTGCCTTAGACATTGGAGAGTCTGTTTTATCCTAATGCACATCTTCAGGCTGATACTTGGAAATGGGCACCAGGATTAGGGTGAGGCAAGTGAGGCACCAAAAAAAAAATTCAGTAATCGAGCAAGATAAGTGACATTTTTAATGCAATATTTTTAAAAACCTAAATAGATGAAAAAATACTGTCATAAAGTATCAAAAACTTAAATATTGTCAGGATCTATGCAGTTTATAATAAAGGCAGCCAATCCAAACAAACATTTACTCCAGCCAGGAAGACCACACAGCTAAAGTTTTTGTTTTAATTCTACCACTTAATATTCCATTTGTCATTGTTTAGGATTCATTAAGACAAATGCTTCTAATAAGTCCCAACACACTACCTAGCTGGAGGGGCTATCTTTTATGACCAAATACAGGCCAAGAGTGATCTCCCTCATTCTTTCCTCACATGTTCCATTCCAAGCATGCCTCACCTGTGGTGATCCCTTCACGGCTCGCTTGTGCTAGCCTCACCTGCTGAGACATGTTCCAGGAGCATGAGCCTCTGAAAAACGAGACACGATGTTCTTCCTGTGCAGTCCCCATCTCCATGCCTAGCACGGCGAATGGTCATGAGAACATTGGCATTGCTCAGAAAAGTGTTCTTTTATTTATTTACTAGAGGCCCAGTACACAAAATTCATCCCTGGGGCGTGGGGGGGGTGTCCCCCCCCCAGCCTGGCCTGTGCCCTCTTTCAGTGCGGGAGCCCCGTGATGGATCACCAAAGAGGTAGGCCAGAGTCGTGGGAATCACCTCCATGCCACATGGAGCCACGGGACCCCCAGCCTCACGGTCCAGCGCCACAGGACCAGCCTCTATGCCGTACATGCAGCATCAAGCCCCTGCCCACCTATGCATGCCCACGGCACATGCAGCCTCCTGGTGAGGGCTCATTATAGCGTGAGGGCGTCATGCTTGAGGATGTCACAACCACATAGACTTTTATTAATAGGATTTATTTATTTGTTATTTTTAATCCCTACCTGGGGATATTTTTCCACTGATTTTTAGAAAGAGTGGAAGAGAGAGGAAAAAAACAGAAAGATCGATGTGAGAGAAACACAGTGATTGGTTACCGCCTGCATTAGCCCCAACTAGGGCCCAGGCCAGGGAGGAGCCTGCAACTGAAATACAGCTTTGATCAGAATTGAACTTGGGACTTTTTGGCCTGCAGGGTGAGGCTCTATCCACTGAGCCAAACCAACTAGGGCAGAAAAGTGTTCTTTTAGGGCACAGCAGAACTCAGTTAATGAAACAGAACATATTGTATTTGGCTTCAGAGAGAATGGACAGCCTCCTTCTAACAGATCAGAGCCAACGATTTAAAGCAAAAACACTGACAAGTCTTCCACTGAAAATCCCAAAGCCCAGAGTTGATCCAAAGGCATCAAGTTGATCAGACTAACTTGAGGCAGGAGGGTGACAGTTTGCTCTCTGCTTTTGTTCCATGCCTTTACTTATGTAAAGAAGGCTGAATGTGTAAGAAAGATTATGGCCCCAAATAAGATTATCTGGGGAAGAGTTCTGAAGGCTTCCCACTATAAATCTAAAACTTCACTCCATACCTTTTTCCCTCCTGTGCTCTAAACCACTTGAACTTTTTGCAAACGTCAGGCTGGTTCTTAGCATATTTATCTGTACCCTATGGCGATTTAATTTCCCAGGGGCTGCTGTCAAGCCTGAGAGTTGATGACTAATGCAAAGATTAGTTCTTGCCTCATGAAAAGAGGATTTCACTGTGGCATTGTTTTGTCTCTGCACCTTCCGTACTCACAAACCAATCTATTAATTCTTCACTGCTTCCTGCCTTTGAATAGCTGTGCTGTGGCCACTGTTTTAGAAGTGGGTTCATTTAAAAAATATCTCCCCGTTGTACAGTGTTTCCCCGATGCCAGGATTACACAGTGCACTGCTTGGGAGAAGGGCATTTCTGTTGCATTACTGTGTACCAAGCATCACTTTTTGGTTTTTGTTAATCTTCACCCGAGGATATTTTCCTCTATTGGTTCTTTTTTGAGAGAGTGGAAGGGAGGAAGGGACGAAGAGAAAGGAAGGTAGGGGAGAGAGTGAAAGAGATATTACACTCTAACCACATAGCAACACTGGCCAGAGCCTAAGCATCTCTTGAATACTTGCCAGATCCATAGATGGCAAAGTTGGTCACAGTTCATCAGGAAGGTCTAGTTGGAATAAAATATCAGAAAGAGACTTTCATATAGGATGTGATAGGGGGTGGGGAGAGACAATACATTTGCTTTAAAGGGTATCTGACTTAAACATCTTTCTCCTAAAAATATATGATTTGAACACAATTGCTTTGTGATTCTCAACTACAGTTTAAACAAACAGGATGGCTTCAATAGTGGCTATCTCAAAAATGGTTATAGGTAGAAAAAGCCTGTCACATTCCAGAAATGGTTTCTGGAGATTCAGGACAAAAGACACCACTGACTGGACAACACTAATGGCTGTGTAGTAGAACCTCACTCTTTCCTCTGAGCAGTGACTCCAAGCACCTTGATTTAATGATGAATGCTTTTTCATGGATCCTTCCTCAGCAGCAATGCTATCTCAGATTTATCGTCTTTCAGTTTTCATATCTGTAATCAAACCATGCAACTGCCAGATGATAAACCAAGTACCCTAAAACTAAAGAAGACTGAAGCACAGAGGGGCATACAAACATTAATGATGTTGCCTGGATGGAATGGCTCATCTAGGAGGTTGTTGATTCTGGTCAGAGCACATGCCCAAGTCGTGGGCTTGATCCCCAGTATGGGGTGTGCAGGAGGCAGGTGATCAATAATTCTCATCATTGATGTAACTATCTCCCTCTCCCTTCCTCTCTTAAATAAATATGTGTGTGTGTGTGTGTGTATACACACATATATACACACATATATAAATATATATATGTGTGTATATGTATATATGTGTGTGGAAGAAATTATTTTATGGGCTCTGTGGTTCTGAAATTTAAATGCTAGGAAGATCCCATGGTATAAGGAAGAAGACCATGAGGTAGAGGCTGAAACTACTGAACATACTGGTCAAGGTGGGCCAGCCTCTGACCATGGTTAGTGCCTGACCGATAGCACTTTATTTCCTGCTATCCTCACAGTCGAGCATTGGTCAGTAACAGAGATTTTGTTTTACGAGGTTGTTTAGGAGGCCAAGCTCCATCATGAGCTCATACGCCTGCCATCTCTTAGGGTATTGGAATTGTCCACTGGATCCTGTGTCTAGGGGGAGAATGTGGAAAAAGAATAAGAGCAGAGGATTCTGGAAGTTTTTTAGGGGCCAGAGCTAGAGGTGATGCATAGTCTTACACTCACATTCCACTCAGTCATGTGATCACACCTGATCACAAGGAAGGATGGTAAATGTAGTTTAGTGAGATACTAAGGAAAGATAAATGGTATTTGGTGAATAGCTAGTAAGGCTTTGCCACACCTGTAAATGCCTGTAGGTTCAGGCAGGTAACGTAGGAGTGCAGCTTGTAGGCTGTTGATACATTCTGTGGGTGAAGGGCCCTTGGTACTGGATACCACATGCTTGTTTGAAGGAAATGCCACTCAACAAGTAGCTTGTCATTGCCACTTGGGTAAGAAGGGCCTAAATTGACTTTCCCACTTGTTCAAAAGCAAGAAATCCATGTTTTCATGTGAAAATTCCATTTTAAAATAGGGCTGTTCCTTCTTTCCTTCCTTCCTTCCTTCCTTCCTTCCTTCCTTCCTTCCTTCCTTCCTTCCTTCCTCTGTGCCTTAGTCCTTTTTTTTTTTTAACATACTATAATATTAATAAGATGGCCAAACAAAATTCACTGGCAAGCCAGTGATAACTGCTAGCATTCAGTAACAAGGCCGGTTGGGCACTAGGAGACCGAAGTCAAATAGCAGCCCCATCCCTCACTGCCTTTGACAGTGTGGGCCCCTCAGTTTCGGAGCCTCTACATGATCTGAGGCTGGGACATGTTTCTAAAGTAGGTGCAAAAGGCCACCTGAGCTCTGCTTACATCCAGGTTTTAGTACCTTTGCTGATGCCACACTAGTCTACCAGGTAACCCAAGGAAGAGCTTGGTGTCTTCTCCTGGGATTTAACCCACAGTGGCTGACTCCTCGGGCAAAAAACAAACAAACAAAAAAATACCAGATCTTCCTCTGTAAAGGTCATGACTCCACAGATAATTTGGGGGGAGGGGAAAGGAGGGAAGCAAATATGTTTTCCTGGTGATTGCCTTGGAAATTCCGTCTCCAAGGAGAAGACACTCATTTCTAGAGCATTTTAAAAGAATCTGGGAATCTGTTTATTATAATGATTAGTTGTTGTTTCTAATGAAGTCCTATTATTTCATTTAGATGGATACTTTGGAGCCTGTTGGGGATGAACTTAGTGGAATGGCCAGATGCCCCTATGATGCCAAACATGCCAACATCGCATTGTTTGCAGGTAAATGCTCTGATTTCTTCTCAATGCATTTGCTTTTATGTGCTCCGCTGGCTGCTGCAAACCTGCTCTGGGGGATTTGCAGAGTCACAGTCATACTTTACTTCTCTGGTAAATACTGTAATTAACAATGCCTTTTCCATTTGAAATTAGTATGAAAGTTGTACTTTGCTTTCTTTGCTATATTTACCCATGCTTTTGTGCCTTCAGAAAAGGCTAATAGTTTTGCACTGAACGTGGCATATTGGTTAGGGCCTGTTTGGGCTCGAATAATAGAAAACCCCATCTCACCCCACTAATACAGGTTTATTATTTAGGGTAAGAATTGGTTTGATCCAACAATTTATTAAAATTATTCAGGACAAAGGTCCTTTTCATTTTTCTGCTCACTTTCATTTCCTTCTAAGAGAGACTGGCTGCCCTCACAGTCATAGATGCCTGCCAACCCCAATTAGGAAGTTTTTGGAAGCTCTCTCACAGCAGTGAGGCTACATACCCCCCTACATATCCTCCAGCAAACACCTTCTCAGATATCACTGACCTAATTAGGGTGCATGCCAATCTATGGTGCAAAGGTTGTAGTAGCCAAGGGGATGATACTGGTTAGCTTAGGTTGACCCATACTCCCCATTCTTACTCCTTCCTTCCATTACAAAAGACATAAAGCAGCAGGAAATAAGCCATCATTTTCAGATTGAGATTTTTGTGGATGAGTGTATGTGCTTTAATTAGAAATTTGTTTAGGAATTCAGTGCCAGCTGTGTGTGTGTGGAGGTGGGTGTAGGGAGAAGAGTTGGCATAATAGTGATTGTTATAGCAAGCAATGAAGCAGTGAATTATAATTTCCATTATAAAAGATAAAAACTGGCACATCCTAGCTAGCTGAGGAGCTTTAGGCCTTTGATTGTGAAATAAAATTAGCTCTTTGAACCTCTCTCATCCTCAGTGTCATCCATTTGTGGTCCTAAATCTGTAGTCACAGAATGCAGAAATAGCTTGTGCCAGTGAAGGACTGTTTCCTTGGGCCCCTGCCAGAGGTAGAGCACAGTATTATTACTGGAAAGCAGCATCGTCAGGGTCACCAGATCTTGTAAACTTATGTCAGCATGGACGGGAGCAAGCCCAGCAGAGGAGATGCTTGGTTATGTTCCCACATGTGAAACTTCCACTGTAGCACATTTCTGACACTTGAACCTGCATTGGTTGGTAACTATGGAGGATGTGGGCTGCGATGGAGAATGTAAATTTAACTGTAAATTAAAAAGAGGATGTATTGTAGCCGGCCATAGAAAAAAAGAGAATGGGCAAAGTATTTTCTAAAGCCAACTTTCCAGAGGCTAAATAAAAGGCTAAATAAACTTTCCAGAGCCACATGAGACACTACTATGACTGCCCCTCCCCTTCCTCAATAGGTGTTCCCTGGAAGGTTTGATTCTCACACACGTTCAGCCCTTACTAACAGAACAGCCTTGCTGCAACTGAATGGTTGTCATACCATCCAGAATGCCAGAATAGTGCTCTGTTTACAAGTAAAGGTCTGGTGAAATACCCAATGTTGAATGTAAAACAAAAAGAATACACACACACACACACACACACACACACACACATGTACCACCTTCCCTTTAACCCCTACTTCCCAGGTCTATCTGTGTGACCTAGGGTTATGACTATAATTAAAGTTGTAATTCATGTAGATGTTTATCAACAGAAAGATTTGTTGTCTGCACTTCCAATCTAACCCAAACAGCCAACACTTACTAATATATGACTGTTAATAGTGCAGATATTAAGGCAGCTCTAAACTGAACCTGAACCACTTTCCATTATTTGAAGTTCAAAGGCAGGCATTAAGAACTTTACTAAGTTTTTTAATAAGCTTTTTTTATAAAACATTATGCTTTCCTACAAGTGGGAGAGCTTAAAGAATACTATATTGTACCTAAGTGCCTCCATATAATTAAAGAAGATATATAGTCCATTTAAAAAGAACTACCGAGGAAGTAATATTTTAGTTTGAATATAATTATTGTCTCTCTTTCATCTATATAGATTTTTCTATTCTAGAACATCCATTTAATTATTTGTGTGTAAAGTGTTTGCTAATCCAGGAAAAGAATCAACATTTTTGGGGATTAATCTTTAGTCTAATTCAGTCCCTTTTTGCTTTGGATGTACTCTCGAGCCTATCTCTAATGTAGCTACGTTGGCAGGGTTCAGTATGAACCCTGACTCTCGTGACTCGGGTAAAGGGGAGCAGTGCCTTTCAAGATCTAAGTAGCAGTTCAGTCAGCTCCTTTTTGTTTATGAACCCCCTTTCTTAATTCGTCTCCCCTGTCCAGTCTGAGGACTCCATTACTTCTGCGGAATGTAAACTTCCAGATGGTAACAACCAGCTCCTGTCTTCCCCGGGGACCCCAGCTGACCCAGCTCACCCCAGTGTGGTGGCAGCAGCAGCATCCAAGGGGCCTTGGCCTGGAGAGTTTAGTCAAGGACCATCTAATCAATTGAAGCAAACAACATTTTTCATTTACCCTGTCCCTGGAGCTGCTGCTGCTTGGAAATTGCCATGCAATTTAAAAATGAAAAATGTTTCCTCTCTCATGATCCCCATTTAAAATGGTTAGGAATGTGGGCCAAGTATTTTCCCAGTGACTCTTGGATTTTCCCCAGTTGTCCTATCTAATTTGTCTGATATGGGAACACAATCTTGGGCATGTCTCTATTATCCCTCCATGCCCGCGGTCTTGCTCCCCACCCCATCCATCTCTTTTCTTTTCCTTCTAAGATGGAAAACTATACTCAGCCACAGTGACTGACTTCCTTGCCATCGATGCAGTTATTTACCGGAGTTTTGGAGACAGACCAACCCTACGGACCGTCAAGCACGATTCAAAATGGTTGAAAGGTGAAAAAACAAAAGGATAAGGGGGGTGGGGTTGATAGGTGGCTCGAGGGACATTTAGGTCCCAAGGGACCAGACTAGTTTCATTTCATTAGTGGCTCCTGGCAGACGGGAAGGTGCAAATTGCATCTTTTGCCTCAACTGATTTATTTACCTCCCTTTTTCACTTCCCAGGAGCTTCTGGGATGTTAACAGAACTACCAATGCAACTACAATAAAGCACATTACATTCATCTTTCCTGCCGCAAACTCTCATTTCAGAGCCCCGCGTGAAAAGAACAGGGGGCTGGGGATTGGCGGTGTGGGGAACAGGAAAAGAGCTCATAACTCTGCAGGAGTCAGGCTGGCAGGAGATGTGTGTGAAGCCCTCTCTGTAATGTGGGCACTCCGTTGTGGAAAATAAAAGACAGGGACATGCAGCACTCATTCAGTCTCCATTGTCTGTTGCAACCACTTCTGAAACATGTAGTTTGGAGGCTCCATTGCTTTCTGACATCACCAGCACTCACATGTGTCATTCGAAACGGCTGGTGTTAACCAAATGTCTAATGGCCCTGTGCTTTTAATTAATAACATGTCACTGGTTGCAACTGATTAAAAATTCTTTCAACAGTGTGACCTGTCCCCAATTAAAGTTCCCAATTTGTTCACAGAACCATATTTCGTCCAGGCAGTGGACTATGGAGACTACATCTACTTCTTCTTCAGGGAAATAGCAGTGGAGTACAACACCATGGGAAAGGTAAGAGGGGAGGAGGTCTCCCTGTTGGGTCAACATGGTTATAAATGACCTTGAAATAGGAAACCATCAATCTAATAGCAAGGTCCTCATTTTGAGGAGATACAAAGATTAGTGGAAGTGAAACTTGGTGCTGCCTCCAAGCCCTTTTTTGGTTTTTTAGCAAAAACGTAACAGAATACTGGGGACATCTTAAATATTTCTTTTCAAAATGTAATAAACAGATGTTCAGTGATTTCCTACTCAGTTTCAAGTGTCTTGAGATGTAGTTTCCAGGTATACTCAACAGTTTTCTCTTTTTAATGAGATGCTCTTTTTAAAGAGAGTAGATATCCAGTATCTTTAAGCAAACCGAGGGTCCTAAATTTTATCTTTATTGAATAAAGCAAGAGAACACTTAGGGGATGGTCCTTTCAGTTGTGATTACCAGAGAGTGGATCAAGGTCACTAAGTTGGAGGGCACAAAATCAATGCCAGGTTAGAGGGATTCAGGGTATGAGATTTGAGGCCCAGAGGCAGCCAGGGAGGATGCCAGAGATGGTGCATACAAAGTGCACTTTTGTCTGAGGAAATAAAAAGCTAAGCAGTCCATATGGAAATGAGTGTATGTGGCTGAGAGCTGATCCCCTGAAGGATTTATGGCTCTGTGTTAAATGCCACAGCCTTATCTTTTAAAACATGCTGTTCCAATGCTGAGGTTTTCCTTTTTTTTTTTTTTTTTTTTTTTTTTGAAACATGAGATTAATTTAAGCACCTTGTTGTTCTGTTTCTATTTTCAAAGAAAGGGAAATTCTAATAAGATCGCCTCGAAAAGTGAGTGCACTTCATTTTCTCTGTGTGTTTTCCCTCTGCAGGTAGTTTTCCCAAGAGTGGCCCAGGTTTGTAAGAATGACATGGGCGGGTCACAGAGGGTCCTGGAGAAACAGTGGACATCTTTCCTTAAGGCTCGCCTCAACTGCTCAGTGCCCGGAGACTCTCACTTTTATTTCAACATACTCCAGGCGGTTACAGATGTGATTCGTATTAATGGCCGCGACGTTGTCCTGGCAACCTTTTCCACACCTTATAACAGGTAACCCTGCCATGGCTGCGCTGACCTAATTGGTTCTTCCGGCTTCCTTTCCCCAGGGGATCTCCTCTAATACATAAGGTTCACAACAGATGGAAAAGTTGTCATTCACTATTTATGACTTAAAAAAAAAGCACTTGACACTCAGTTTCATCAACAAATTAACGGTCATTTACAGGCGTTATTAGATTAGGATTATAGGGAAAGTAATTAGATAAATTATAATGATATCTTCTAATGATAGGCCTGTCATAAACACTATGTGCGTGTTGTTTCTCAATCCTTTCTATAATCCTGGCAAGGACTACTGTTGCCCTCTTTTACACTGGACAAAACAACTCAATTATAGCACCTGGTCCAGGTAGTCAGTAGACAGAAGAGGAAGCTTCAAACTCAAAAATGGTTTTTTCTCTTCTAGGCCATGTTTCACTTTTAATGTTGCTATCTTTTGAAGTAAAAACCCTGGGGAAAAAATATTAAAATGCTACAGAGTGAAAGTTAAAATTCAGATGAGTCCATACTCACCTAAGACACCCTGGTTATTACCCTGGTTATCCCATCAGAGGAGCCTGCATCCCCACCATAGCACCACTGTCTGACCCTGGAGGGCTCGAATTAAGACTTAGTCATTGTCAAACCTAGAAATACTGAGTGTTAGCCTGTATATTCCTAGTTGGGCAGTTTTTAAGCGAAGACTTTGAAGAATTAAATAATATTCTAACTGTTCCTGGAGCAGTGGAAATATGCGGGGTTTAAAGAGCTGAAAGAAGACGGGCATTTAGATTCTCTGGTACGCAGCTTTCCTAGGCCTTAGAGTCCCAGCACGACTGTGAAAATGGTCATCCCTCTGGGTGTGGTCATACAACCTAAATGTACTGTCTTCTCATTTCTATGTAGAATTTTGGATAATCTATATTATCTTCCTTTGGGAATACACTGTTTTATTTTGGATTACACTTATTACAAAGACGTTTAAGAACTCAATGAGTGCTTAGATGACAGGCATGTCCATGTTGAGATTGTGGGACAGCATCTAGAAAGAAATGTTTCAGAATTAGGTAGAGCCCGGATCAGAACAAGCTCAAGGATGAAATAATGTTCCTTTATTACCTGGAAGTCAAGAGTTCCCCGCTGAAGGTGCATGAAAATATGAACCCATACTACAGCAAGAAGCACTCAGTGAGATTTAAGTAAGCTTTAACCTTCTGTGGAGATTTGTAAGCCTGAGAATAGAAAAGATTCAATAATTCAGACTTTGTTCAGACTTCCAAATGCATCGATCTAGACTGTTGAAAAGGAATACTGTTGTGGTACATGAGAAAGCAGGGGCTAGCAGAATTTCAGAGCACACTTCCGGTTTGTTGGTTTAATTTTTGAGGGCAGTGAGTTACTTTATGATTGCAATACAGTAGTAGATTCTAGCATATTATAGATACTCCATTTAAAACATTTTCTTTAACAGCCACCAAGAAACATTCAATTATTGCATGCTTATGCTGTCTCAGAGATATATTTGCTCAGTAAAATCAGAAAGTGGTAAAAATGCACATGCCCATTTCATCTATAAATTATTGGCCCTCTCTGGTTTTACTCCCTCTAGATTCATTCCTCTCCACCCCATGCTCCACTCATGCAAACTTGGTCACTGTGAGGTTTCAGATCTTTTAGGTGCTTCTCTTTACCCTGGGGATAAAGTTCACACTTCTTAAAATGGTGTGCAAACCCCCTCGTGGTCTGGCCCGTCTCTGCCAGCAGCATGTGCTTTCTGGAACTAAGATCTGTCTCGAACATGCCATGCTTGCTCATGTCCTGTTCTTTGCCAAGTCCACTGGTCCAACCAATGTCTGTTTGTCCATTGTAACCCTAAGGATGCTCCAAGTCTCAGCTAAAGTCGCTTCCCATGAGATCTTGTACATACCTCTTTAAATACTGCTCTTAGCAAGTTATCCTGCATGAATTATTATCATCATCATCACTGTTGTTGTTATTTGCCTCCACACTGAACTGTGAGTCAACTGAGAGCAGTGCTCTGCGTTATTTATTGAGCATTTACTGCCTGAGATTAGGGATTCCATAATTATATGTTGAATGAACAGCAGGTAGAAAGAAAAGAATGAAAAAAAGATGAAAAGAAAGAGAAGGGAGTAAAGTAGGGAAGGAATAATAATGGATGTCACAAGTAATTCTAACCTTGGGAAGACTATAAAATCCCAGGGTGTCCTTAGCTATTACAAGGTTTCTCATAAAATAATTCAATATTTATCCTATTTTTCTTAATATTTAAAGTAAATATGTATGCCTGTTACTTTTAAGAAAGGGAGATAAGAATCTTACAAAATTAAGTAATGCCAGGGTTCCAAAATTTCAAAACAAATGGGGATCACTGTCTTGTATACTCAATTCTGTAAACAATGTGTGCTTATATATACATACACACACACACATATATACACATATATTTACACACATATATATGTGCACATATATATATACACACACACTACTTTAAAAATGTATTACTTTTAATTTTAAAATACTTTAAAGTTCATTCTGCCACCTTGTTTTAAATAAGCTTTCTAATCCTCCCTATTTTTGCTTTACTAGTAATTCTTCAGTAATTGTTGTGAAATTAAAGATAGCACAAAGTTTTCCTATTCATTATGAGTGATTTCCATATCCTTTCTACATTTGCAAAATCCAGGCCAATCCTTCTCTCTGTGCTGGATGATGTTCCCATACTGCAAAGCGCAGTCTTGCCCTGATGCTGCTGTGCACTGGCCCACAACCTCAAGGCCTGATTAAAACATTGGCCAGCTGGTGCCTGCCATTTATTTGATCAAAACCATGAACAACCATAGTCAAAAGCAAACATGGATTCACAGAGTATACCCAGATGAATGAATTATTCATGCCTCTCACCACTGATGAAAAAAAAAAAAATCCCAAGTCCTTCCAGGAGTGCCAGGCCAGAATGTAATTATAGGTAGAGATTACTGTCATTATTATTACTTAGCACTTAATAGAGCACTTTATTTGCAAAGTGTTGATGCTTTAGAGACTTATATTGTTCAGTCCTATGCAAATAAACAGGAGTAAAAACTGGAATGTACACTGACTAACAAAATATTCCCCAGTTCCTCACACAGACATTCTCACTCCTGGAGTCCTTAGCTTGAGGCTCCAAATCCAAAGAAGCAATATTTGGACCATGGAGACACTTTTGTTTTAAATTTTTACCAATATTGGGATATAGAATATTTTCTAAAAATTTTTATTAGGGGAGGGGGTTATTGATTAATAATTAACATCAGTGAATCCATGAAACTTCCAAATCACCGGTTCAAGCACTCTTCCTTTCTAAACAAAAGCAGTCCCAGAAGACATCAAGAGGTCCTTTCTCTTTATGAGTTGCTTTAACTAGCCCTTTATTTAAGGCCAATGATGAAAATTTGATTCCCGGGAACATTCGCTTTCTGCACGAGGATCCCTTACATTTATTGTGTTCAGTATATGAACTTTACATTTCAATTGCCTATATTAGGAAAGTTTCTTTGGAGTATGTTTTCCAAGCTGCCTGTGCACTTGGGCATGAGTAACACTGTGTGAAATGTCGTGTTGCAGCATCCCTGGGTCTGCAGTTTGTGCCTATGACATGCTTGACATTGCCAATGTTTTTACTGGGAGATTCAAAGAACAGAAGTCTCCAGATTCCACTTGGACACCAGTTCCTGATGAACGAGTGCCTAAGCCCAGGTACATGCAAATATCTATTTGCTATTTTGTTGTTGTTGTTAATCCTCACGTAAGGATGTTCTTTCCATTAAGTTTTTGAGAGGGGGAGGGGGATGGAGAAAGAGCGGGAGAGAGAGAGAAAGAGAAACATTAATGTGCAAGAGATTTATGGACTGGTTGCCTTCCAGGCCTGTCTCAACCAGGGCTGGGGATTGAACCTGCAACACAAGTATGTGCCTTTGACCAGGAATCAAACCCGAGACCTCTCTAACAAACCAGGTCATATGCTATATTTAACTTCTAGAAATGGTGCACTTGCTCCTATGATAATGAATTGCATTATCATGCCCATGCCCCTGTCTTCCATGCCCAGGGCAGCCATACAGATAAGATGCTGGAACAACAGCAAGGCCTATCAGGTCACTTACCTTCATCCACTTAAGCAAAATTCAGGGTTACTTATAGTTAAAACAATGACTCTCTAGTCTTTCGCTTAATCTCTATATCTGTAGTTTACCCATGTAATCCTAGGATGAATAGATCCATTTCGCCCAGCCAGCTCCAATGGTCTGTAGTCAAGGAAACTGGGGCCCAGAGAAGTATAAAGTGTATTGTGTAAGTTCACACAGCTGGATAGGTTGTTTCCATTGTCCTTCCCTGCTTCCCTTCAATTTTACAGAACCGCGCGTCTTTAAATCCTAATAAAATGTGGAACATAAATGGTGAGTGTTCCCTGGATTTCTTGACCAGGCTTTATCAAAGCTGAATCAAAACTCAGGCCAAGGGCAAGAAGAAAGCACAGGTGCAGGGGACCTTAGCATGTCTCTTGTCTGCCAGATCGTGGTCTATTTTGGGTCCATATATAACCCAAATTTCCCATCTCCCCAAAGTGTGCCCCAGAATTGCCTTCATTGAGAATCTACTGTCCTTCATTGGGAACCTCTTAGTCCTTTGTAATCTCCTTCAACTCCTCACACAAAAACCGTGAATCCATCCTTTTTAACTGGGATGGGAGAAAACTGTCCCCAGCCCTGTGCCTGCCCTATGTATGTGGTACCCACTGGCTACCTTCATTACAGCATTTGCAGTCTAAGTTACCTGGAAACATCCTTGTGTGCCCAGCTCCTTCCACTGAGTTTGTGGGCCTCTGGAAGGAAGAAGCCCAGTGTCTTTTAAGTTTTTTGGTTTCCAACCTCAAGTTCCCCACATAAAATACGTAGCCCAAGCCATTTAATTGAACTAATTTAAATAATGTGAACCCTGTACCCAGGAGAGAAACCATGTGGTTCTGTCTTCATCATCTAAATTGTCTGGCATGTGCATTAGGTGCAAAAAGCACACTCTGGCAAAACCTCAGATAGATCCTCTATCAGTGTTTCCCAAAGTGTGGTACACGTACCCCCAGGGATACGGGAAAAGTTTGGTGGGGACATGCCCTGCACCGTGCTTAGCTGCGCCTAATTCCACGTTCTCATGAGTACGAGGGGTACTCAGCATTACGAAAATTATAGAAGGGGTACACATATGTCAAAAGTTTGGGAAACACTGCATCTAAGTCATTGTTTGGAACTGTTAGCTACTTTCTAGGTAAGCAGGAGGGGGAATTCAGCCTGAGGGGCCAGGTTTCAGGGAGAACTTACTTATTGTGTTCTCCTTGGTGTGTAAGCCATGACCAGGAAACACACTGTAAGTGATTTGCTACTATTGGCAGTATGGTTAGCCTCATCCTCCCGCATGCTTGCCTCGCCCCTCTTGCAGATATGAGGATATGCCCACAGGGCTGGCCAAGTCAGTGCCATGACACAGTGCATGTGTGGGCCAGACCATCCCATTGCTGTCAGAGTCCAGCTGTGTGAATAGGCCCAGTTTCAGTGTTTCCCTGATCTGACTTTATCGAGATGTCCCTTGACTCCAGAAGCCATAGAATTTCCTGTAGAAAAAAAGTTTTTGCGTCATTAAGGACGTGACGCTTCAGGAGGGAAGCTTCAGCCTCATTGGCTTTTCATACCTGCCCAAATCAAACAAAAACAAAAGCATCCGTAGCAAACAAAATACAGACGTTCTCTGACTGCCAGTGGGAGATGGTTCCATGGAGTCTTGCTGGTACGTATGCTGGCTGGTGGCTTTTGAGTTGCCTTTGTTTTCTACATTTGTGGAAAAGTCAGCTTAATTCTGTCCTTTTGTAGAACAAATGCCTCGAGAACTTCCAGCAGGGTTTTAGGGCAGAGAGAACAGCCCTGGGACATGTGCATACCACACACTCCCCCCTTGTTTCAAGCTCCATCACTGTTGATGGAATTTGTTTGTGCTTCTGGGGGGAAGCCAAGTTGCCCCCAGCGAAGGTATGCGAGGCAGCATGGAGGAAATCTAAGCACATTTCTTTGGTGGCATCTGCATTGTTCAGCTTCCTCCTCTCAGCCTCTGGTACATCTTCCCTCATGCCAGATGCTTAGAGAAGCAGCTCATTCAGAGAATTTGCCACAAGGCACGAAACAAACTCCCTCCCTTACTTTTTAGGCCGGGTTGCTGTGCTGGCTCATCCTCTTTAGAAAAATATGCAACCTCTAACGACTTTCCTGATGATACCCTGAACTTCATCAAAACGCACCCGCTCATGGACGAGGCCGTGCCTTCTGTCATCAACAGGCCGTGGTTCCTGAGGACGATGGTCAGGTGGGTGCCAAGCACAGCGATTCCTACAGGGATCTTCCCTACTCCATCTCATGCGCATATCAGCGGGTCATATTTTGAAATGGCACAGACATCTTCTGTGATCACGTGCATTGATTCCACTATGAAATGCTGACGAGTGGGGTGGATGCCACAAAACCCCGTGACCACATTCCCATTGAGAAGAGTTTGGGTATTTGGGGGCTAGCTGGGCACATGCCAGCAATTACAGGAAACAAAGATATCTCCTTCCTGGGTAGCCCTTTAGTCCAGTCTGTGCCAAAGTGGAGGAGCAGTCAAGGAGAATCAGTCGATGATTGTGGACACCTGTTTGGTTGGATATGGTTGCAAAACAAGCTGCAGATTCCATTCAAGCATTGTGCCTTGGCTGTTAATTTTCAAGTGGAGCATGAACAAAAGGAGGATTTGCAAATGCTAAAGTATGCCAGCATGAAGGGTCATGCTTTAGCATTTGTTATCTGAAGTGGTGGCCAACGGAGATGGGATATATGGTGTGAAATCTGTGAAAGCATTAAGTACTCCTCCTTGTATGTATTTAGAGCTTATCTCCAAACAATTCAACAGGCTTTCCCAAGTACCATCCAGTCTGGGCAATTATCAAACACAAGACTAATTAAATTTACCACCATTTTTTAACTATGCCTTTACTGAAATATATTAAAGCATTACAATGGCTCTTGTCCATAAAATGGAAACATAACTTGCAAGAGGGTCCATAATTTCTTGAACATGCCATGGTGCTTAGGACAAATAGGTGTCTGTAGAGTATTGAATGGCTGAGAGAAAGAAGAGGCCCAATGGAACTTAGCCTAGATGTGTGACAAGGCTGATGCCCTTCACCTTTGCTCAAAATGTATCTTGCTTGGCTGGCACATCCTTCGGAACTTCAGTCTTTCTACATACAATTGAAAAATCTTTCCAATCTGGCATTTTCTTGCTGTGGCTTTACATCAGAAGAATGGTATTAAAAAAAATGGTAGCTATTGCTTTTCTTTCCAATGCTAAATGAAATGTCAAATGAGTTCCCTTATTCCTCTCCTCTTCAGAGGAGACATCATGAGCCTTCCCTTGTTGCTCAGGGCAGAGATGATTGTTGAGTGGTTTCGGATAGTTATGGCTGGCTACTTATTAAGTAGCTTGGCCTCCATACCCCACATCTCTGTTCTCCCCTTGGAGCCATACTAATGCTCTGCGTATGGAAGTAACATACCAGAACGGCTTGAGAGCATTATTTGCATGCATATATTTCTCTTGAGGTTATTACTAGAAAGCTCTGTCACAATTCAATCGTGTGAAGTGGGAAGGGGGACACTTGGATGACAGACCAACGGAGAGATGGAAAATGCGACCCTGTCATTTCAGATACCGCCTCACCAAAATTGCAGTGGACACCGCGGCTGGGCCCTATCAGAATCACACTGTGGTTTTCCTGGGATCAGAGAAGGGACTCATCTTGAAGTTCTTGGCCAGAATAGGAAACAGTGGTTTCCTAAATGACAGCCTTTTCCTGGAGGAGATGAGCGTTTACAATCCTGAAAAGTATGTAGAATGTTTGGTCCTTTCTTGGCAATCACTTAATGTTATTCAGAGGAAGTCAAGGCAGACATAGGTTTTTTACATTTTTAGGTGTGGCTTTTAAAATTATTTGTGGAAAATCTTTTAATACATGAAAGGCATTATTTTTCTCCTTGCCAATAATGTATTTATTTATATAGTCACACATATAGATGTGTGTGTGTGGTGTGTGTGTGCGCACACAGCGCATGTGTACAAGGATCTATTTCATCTTTACTTAGATCAGATTAAGAGATCACTTTGTGGGCTGGGTGTTGCATATGATGGTGGCAGCAAGAAAAAGAGAACTGACCCGAGAGAAACTTTTAATGATATTATCCTGCCTTCTACAATTAGGTGTAGCTATGATGGAGTAGAAGACAAGAGGATTATGGGATTGCAACTGGACAAAGCAAGCAACTCTCTGTATGTTGCATTCTCCACCTGTGTGATAAAGGTTCCCCTCGGTCGGTGTGAACGACATGGGAAGTGCAAAAAGTATGTACTTTGCCTCATTGCTCATTAGGAAATGCTTCAAAAGGAGGCCTACGTAGCTCACGGTCATCTTCTTCCTGCAGGACTTGTATCGCCTCCAGAGACCCTTACTGCGGGTGGGTGAAGGAAGGAGGTTCCTGTGCCTATCTGTTGCCCAGCAGCAGGTAAGGTGCCCCAGGTGTGGGAGAGTGGAAGGTGCTTTCAGTCTATATGTATGAGTTAACTGTGCTTGCACATACCACCACACTCAGCCTTCTGTACACAGCCTCATCAATGGGACAGACAGCCACACAATCAGCCATTTTCCTTCCTTTTCCCATTTCACAGAACACTCCAATATCACAGGTGGCGGATTTCCAATTGATTAATCATGCATCCTCAGGCTGATTACAAACACAAAGAAAAGAAACACAGTGGGCTTCTGAGTGTTCCCAGGAGAGGGACAGGGATGTGCATGCCTTAATCATCACAATTTGAGAACAGCAGAGAAAAGGGGAGTTGGGTAGCAATTAGATTAGTGATGCGGTTTGCCCAGCCATCACAAAATGGGCTCCTCTAATTGACCATACAAGGCTGGGAAGAAATTGCAGAGCATTGGTTAAGGATGCGTTTGTACTGCAAGCATGTTGTACACATCCAATAAATCTTCTCCTGCGTTGAAGAACAGTTGACCCTATTACTCATTACGTAGTCAATTCTTGGCAGTTCTCCAGCAGATCAGCTCAATCGGGGCAGTGTAACATGCCTGTGATTTCGGTGCTTAAAATTGTAACCCGGTCTTTAAATGCTCAGCTGGCATTAGTTAAAAGGTTTCTTTTATGTGTTTACTTCATTGGAAGTGAAATCCAAAATAACATTGGAAAAACATCCAATGCATGTCCTTGACAGGTTATGGCAACTCAAGGGAGGTGCCATATGGCAGCACAGCTCTTTCTTAGCCAATTTCTTTAACTTCCCTAAATCCAAAGGGGGAACAGAAGGGCTCACATCACTGACTCTCCTCTCCCATTTTAGAACAGCTAGACAAATAGGCAGAAGGCCACCTCATCACCACCACCTGCACAGTATGAGGGAAAGTATTCCCGTAAACAGGGTGAATGATAACTAAATCTGACCTGGAAATTTGACTAATACAAAGGGTCGACTTCTATATTTTATTACATCATCTTTACAAGTAGCAAAATATAGACATGCTACAGTAGTAGCACTTTATATATTCTCCTGGGACTCTTGAAGTGAAGGAGGAAGGATCACAAAGCACAGTGAAGGAAGCCAAGCATGATCTTCCTGTATTCAAGGTATAACCAGAAGTATACTCCTGAGGACGGGAGGAGTGAAGACAATACCTCAGCAAAATGCACCTCCAAGCCCTCTCTTCTCGGGCCCCACATAGCCACTGGCCATTTGTACCTTTAACACTTTGTTATACAAGTTACTGCTAAGCAAATAAATAGATAAAAATCTAGGAAGGAAAGGGTCAGGGTGAAAGAGAAAGTAGAGGGAGACTTATTTTTAACTAGAGGCCCAGTGCACAAATTCATGCACATTGAAAGGAAATTAATTAGATGAAATACTTTAGAGGCCAGGGAGGGACTGTGGGAGGTTGGCTCCAGGGCATGCCTGGCCCATCTCATCCAGTCCCAATCTGCCAGACCCCAGCAGCAAACTAACCTACTGGTAGGAGTGTCTGCCCTCTGGTGGTCAGTATGCGTCATAGTAATTGGTCGAATGGTTGACTCATAGGTTGGGCCCTTAGCATATTAGGCTTTTATATAGAGAGATTTATAAACTATATTGCTCAGAACAGTGTATCTTAACATTTAAATGTTTAAGACATATTCAGGGAATCAGAGTAAAAGACAGGTATAAATAATGCACACACTAATTACCTCCTGAATAATATCTGAATTAACTTCTTAAGCCAGGGTTTCTTTTCGGATATTCTTGTACATAAGACTCATTTCTATAAATTTCAATGATATAATTTTCAAGCTGTTATCTACATATTTTTTGCACCTGCCACTCAGTTTATCAAACTGTGTTAGTTGCTTTAGTGAAACCCGAGTAATGACTCATATGATTGAATTTGTTTTTCTCCCCCCTCCTTTTCTGAAAGACTAACTTTTGAACAGGACATAGAGCGTGGCAATACAGATGGCCTTGGAGACTGTCACAGTAAGTGAAGCTTTTATCCGTGTTTATCTTTGGGGAGAGAAGCTTTCTGGAATGGCTGGAAACATTACCCTGCATGTGGAACTGAGTACAGCTGGCACCAAAACACGCATACATAACAGAAACCATCTTCTAAATATCAAATAAGGAAAATAGTACGTTTTAGAGCCAATGTTATTGTCGATGCTGTTGCTATAAATGCTGGCACCTAGTGCATTATTACAATACTGAGAAACAGACTCACTTAAGAAGATATTAATTATGCAGAGCAATAAGTTATATGTCTGCATTTTCTGTATGTGAAAGCCCAGGTTTGTTGTTTTTTTAAAATTTGTTATTTACACTGTAATTTTTAACCACATATGATGAAAAGGCTGGACATTGTACTCTAGCTTTTTAATTGAATGGAACTGTTTTTATTTTTCTTCAACATAGAAACTAACAAAAGTAATTATATTTTTAAATTAGATTTTTGTTAACATTTGCAGTAGAAAAAAGTTTCATATATAACCCACTAAGTGTACAAAATAACCTTTTCATAAAAATTAAACTGCGTGAATCTGAGTTCATTTCAAAAGTTATTAAATGGTAACATTTTAGTTAGAACTTCATGTAAAGGATCCTGGTTCTCCTATTTTTTGATTAATATCAAAACTCTCCTAAAAATGCTAAGGTGTCATTCAACTTTCTTATCTCTTATAGAAATCAGATATAATCAAATAAAGAGACTTGGCAGCCTTATCTCCAATTTCTTTGCATATATTTTTTTGTTCTCAAATATTATATATTGGCAAAAGCTTATTATGTCTTCAGACACAACATTTAATGAGTTAAAGAATCAGCATAGGAGACAGTGTCACTGCCAAAGATCTACATTACTCTTGGGGAGTGAAACAATTTGATCCATGGATGTTAGTCACATTGATGCCTTATGGAGCCTTATGGCTCCATTTTCAGTAAACAGGTTTGGTTTCTTTCTTTTTTTTTTTTTTTTAATATATTTTATTGATTTTGTACAGAGAGGAAGGGAGAGAGATACAGAGTTAGAAACATCGATGAGAGAGAATCATCAATCAGCTGCCTCTTGCACACCCCCTACTGGGGATATGCCCGCAACCAAGGTACATGCCCTTGACCAGAATCGAACCCGGGACTTTTCAGTCCCCAAGCCGACACTCTATCCATTGAGCCAAACCGGTTTTGGCTTGGTTTCTATATGAACTGAATTAGCTGACTTTAGTGAATACTTTTCATCAAATTTTTATGATCTGGTGGTATGGGCATCTGTAGAAAACTGGGTGTCAATTTGGATTTCATAGGTAAATCTATGAAAAATGTGACAATGGTTGTTAATAGCTCTACCAAGTGCCCCATGCATCAGTGTGCTCACACTACCCCTCTGTTCTTGGCAGAAAGGCTGATGGAAGCCCCAGTATTAAGCATAGGGGAGACCCTCTACCCTGGCCCGTGACTTACTCTTTAACCTCAGCAGTCCAGCCTCTGTTTTCCTGTACTTCCCACCCTTGAACCTCATTCCTGCTGAGGCTCTCAGAGGCCCGCTCATGGTGGTAGGGCTGAGGTGACCCTGGGCCGCCTGTTCGAGTGCCTTCTTAGCTCCCTGTGCTCTGCTGGAGCGTGACCTACTTCATGGGACTTACACCTTCACAGACAGACTTTCAGAGGCGTTAGGTCATTGGTGCGCAATGACTCTGCATCAGGATTTTGAGGGCAGATGAGAAAATCATGCAGAGCCAGTGCCAGAGGCTGAGGGCAGGCTGAGTGAACCAGTGGTCTGACCCAGACACAGCATGTACACACAGGTGTAGGCTGCTTCTGTGTGGATGTGATTTTATTTTTTGTTTTAATCACTTAAGTAAACTCCCTGCTGAGTTCAGAACATTGTGATTCTGGACAGTTCCTCACAGCATGGTTGTGAGGATGAAATGAGAGAATGTATAAAAAGGGTTCTTTATAAGTGTGGGTCCATGTGGTACTTATTTTATCCACATATATGGTAGGGCTTACATTCTCAGAAACACATATAATCACAGTTACCATTTTTTTTACTAACTCTTGCTTTTTCTCTGTCTCTTGGCAATAAAGACAGTGCCTGTGAGGAAACTCACTTGGGGAAGAGATGGGGGTGTGAATTGGATCGAATAGAATGCAACTTACATTACAAGCCAGAATTGAAATGCACTTATTTAGTGTTGGGTATCATATGTCCTTATAGTCCTGTATTAGTTCACTCCCACTTACCATGTAAGTCACACTAAGCAGTGTTACACATAAGTAACCTTCTCCTTCCTTTTGTCTTTCAGATTCCTTCGTGGCCCTGAATGGTAAGGATGGCATTACTCGTGATTAATTATTGGTGAAACTCTATTTAGGAAATCCTGCTTCACTAATCCTCTTCAGTATTCTCAAACTTTAGGTTTCTCTTTAAATTAATTTCTTTGTCCTCATTATTTTTTTATAGACATTTCAACTCCTCTACCAGATCATGAAATGTCTTACAACACAGTACATGGTCAGTTGATGGATTTCTTTTTTTTTTTTTTTTAATTCTTCAAGCCACTTATCCTGTGGTAGTTAATAGTTTTCATTCCTAAACACCATGGACCAGATTCTTTATTACTTCAGGGCCCCAATTCACTAAAATTATTTATAGATTGCATGATACTTCAAAAATCACTCAGCCTGCATTTGATGTATGAGACTTGAGTCCTACAGTTTAATCTATATAACATAAAATATGCCAACCCTAGGCAATTTGGTGAATATCTTTAATGAGTTCTTGAAGGAGAAAAAAAATTGCTTTTGGACATATATATATCCAAGATAAAAGAATAGTGCCTGTAACTACAAGGCCATAACTCTCTAGCCGATGAAGAGCAACATTTCCAAAATGCTGACTCTCAGGACCATACCTGCTTCAGGGGAAAATCTATAGAGTGAACATACCAGCTTCTTACTAGGCAAACTTTCCAATATAGCATGAAATTGGCCATCAAAATTTAAGTTCACAAAGAGTGCAACTATTTAGACATATTTTCATCAAGATTTCTTTAGAATGTGTACAAGGAAGAGTGACACAGCACAAACAATGTGCACACAGGGCTTCTCCCATTGTTCCTGCTCTGAAATGCAGGCGCTACATTAAACAAAGCTATTAAATCCATAAACTGAATATTCTGAGCTCTTTATAAGAAAAGTTTAAATGTAGTTAAAACATTCCATTTCTCAAAGTTACTCCAAGTATTTATATATTAGGGTAAACTATTCATGTGGGTTTTTTTAAAATATAAAATGAAAAAATATGTGTGATGGCAAACTTAAGCTAATGCATTACTTGAGGCTCAATGCATGAAATTCATGCACAAGTAGGGTCCCTAGCAGCTGCAGGCTGCCAGCCAGGGCCTCCCTTCCCCCAGTTGCCTACCACCACCACCACCACCACCACCACAGTCAGCCAGGGTGGGGCCAGTCAGAGGAAGGGGCCATGGGCGGTTGGCCAGCAGATCCTGTCCCCTGGTCGAACTCCCAGTTGAGAGGATAATTTGCATATTAGGCTTTTATTATATAGAATAATGGGGACTATGAGTTTCAGTGATACACAAATTTTATAGATTTTGTGTTTGAGAACAGTAACAGTTCTAGGACTGTTACTTTAAATGTAGAGATAGGTAAGAAATGAAGGGGGAACATAAAGAAAAGAAATCAAGGTGGATTTTGGATTTAAAGAAATAGTTCAAGATAGCTACAAGTGTGTCTAATAGCTCTATATGAACTCTCACTCCCAGTGAGTATTAGCATAAATAAAAAGCCTCTTTGAAAGTCCTAAAGACTATCTTATATAAACTAGAGCTGTGCAGATATGGAAAACAATACCTGATTTCTCCTGACTGACCCCACATGAAGTGAGGTAGTACAGAGAGAAACCCACAAAATTATTCACCCACCTTTAACATTCTCTCATCTGTGGCTCCAACCAAGACATTAAACACCAACTACTAGAAAAAAATTTATCAGGAGGCATATGTCCTCTAACTTAGCCTATCCTTCAGAAAGAGAGCCCACTTAGCTTCTGCTCTTTCTCAATATCATACTTTGAAATAATTTCTTATAATTGAATAATCTTTATCAGAAACTGATAAATTCAGGTCTTGAATCTAATTGAATCAGCAACCTCCCTAGCATTTATCAATTTGTACAATTTTAACTCCCAGGTAATTTCTCATATCGATAGAACAATTAAACTGGGATCTTCTTTATGAACAGAAATAATCTATGTATCTCTTTTTCCTTTTCAAAAGGAAAGGAACTTATTAATGTCTCCATATTAACACTTTTAAAGGACAATGCCTGACCACCCTCAGCTTTTGACTACTAGTTTCTGTGATGAAACTAAAGAAGAGTTGGAATATTATATTCCTTTTCATGAATAATCCTGTCCATTTCAGGCTAACCAACCAGGATGGAGTGGTTAGATGATTAACTGACCATCAAAATGAGGCTGCTCGAGACAGTACTTAGAAAAATACAGGAGACTTCCTTTTCACAAACTATTGAAGATATGCTGATTTTGGAATTAATAAACATAGAACAGAGGTAATTAATTTATTCAGCCAATAGTGCCAGGCACTGGACTAGGTGTGGTGTTGTTACCTTCAAAAGAAATATCAAATTGCTATTTTTAAAAGCAAGGATGTAGCTTAGGAAGCCAACCGCACAGTCCAAAGTACACCCACTGCTCCCCACTGTGTGCTTTGAAAGTTTCCATAAAAAGTTCATTGGCTGAGTGCTGGCTCACAGAGTGAACAACAAAACCACAACTGCCTAAAAAAGGGATCATTTCAATAAACCATGCACTCTGCTTGGCAAAAGCTCTGTGCAACATCAGTTTCATAACCAAGAAACCCTTTTTAGTGAATTGGACCCTGGTTATTTTCCTTCTCTCTTCCTCTCTTGTATTGCTATAGTATCTCTTTTTTTGGTGTCTAATTGGTTATAATCATTGTTAATAAATTAGAGTAGTTTGAAAGGTCTCTAACCTCTGGAATCACGAAGATTTGTAGATATAGAGAAACAGTATGATGCATATTAAAGTTAACTTTTAATATCCGCCTCTTTGTATATTATAAGAATATATCATAAGCTCCATTAGTTAAAACATGACCTCCCTAATTGGATTATCAAGACAAAATTACAGATTTGAACTCTATTGACATGTAATACTATATCCACAAATGATTGCCTATTTTTTGTAGCATGATTTTGGTTACACAGTCTCTTAGGGAATGCACAAACGAATATAGCCTGTAGAATCAGATTCTCAGAAAAAATACAGTGATTTTCTTTCAACATTTTTTTAAGCTTGAAGAGGTAATAATCATATGCCTCTTTGATTTCAAATTAAGGACTGCTGCTTAATGGTCCTTTTCCATGGTGCTTCTAAAATTTTTGAGAATCAGATATTGCTTTCTGCGACTACTTGATTCACCAGTGACACGTGTTGCCTGTCCTTAAGCATAAGTTTAAAAGATTGCAAGCCTCATGCTGCTCTATTTTTTTTTTTTTTTGAGTACATCAGATGCATGGTTTCTCTAGATTTACATACAAAAATATGGAGATGTGATGGGTACTAGACTAACACTTCAGTGATAGGAAGGAGCTGGTTTCTCACATTTGTGTAAAGCATTTCCCTACCTAACTACCATCTGGTCCACATTAATATCCGCTCATAGCTATAGCTTTCCATTACCAATGAGTTTTCCTCGTATTTGCAGCATATGGTCTTAGAAATCTTTCTACAGAGAATGTGTCCCTTAGGCATATATTTCCCCTAGATTACCGTATTAAGAAATGTTCTCCCTTAACCATACTTATGGTATTATCATAAAATTGCCCCTTGGACACAGTTACATTAAAAGTGCTCAAAATGTATATCAACTCAGGTAAAAAAATTTTTTGCTACTTCGAGGGGAGGCTTTGTCACACACCACACACACACACACACACACACACACACACAAACACACACCTTTTAGCTCCCTACAAAGCTATTTCTAATTGTTTGCTTATGCTGGGTGCTGAAATTTTTCTTAGGTTAACAATATATTTCATTAGAGCTGTGTTGAATTGAAGGGTAGAAAATTGAGGCTGCATGTTAGGGCTCAATATAAAAGCAAGAGGAAGCAAAAGAAATTTCAGGTGATTTTCCTACCCTTGTTCTCTTGTCAGTATCATGAGATGAGGTGTGATACCCAGAAATGTAAAAACAAAAATTCTGGATCCAAGCCTTCTTTGGGTTTTAAATGAATGTGTTTCTAGCAGTTGGTTCTGAATCAGACTATTTGTACCAAAGTGGATGTTTGAAGCTGTGTGGGAGCCAAACAAGTTCTATGCAGAAAGCCGCCTCTTAAATGTTACCAAAGCTTTGCACAGCATCTAAGTGCGGTGCATACATAGAAATCATTATAGCTTAGACAAGCCACTCGGCTGGCTTGCTTTTCCCGGCTCTTTTACATATATATTTTGTAACTGCCACTAGTACAGTCTCCTGGGAATCCAACTTCCAATAATAATTGTAAAAAGGAACGATGTAATGCATTGATCATTCCAGCCTTTCTTTCTGGTGGCCAGTATTTTATCTATCGCATGCATGGTGATGACAGCCCAAGGTGGAGACCACCTGGGATTCTGTCCTGCTTTCTACCAAAGGCACCAATTACACATTCACCGTAGTTGCCCCGAGATGTCTTTCTAAAAATTACTCACGAGGTTGTTCCCGGTAAAATGGCTGGCTACCCAAAGAATACTTAGACATCCTAGAGAAGTCATATTTTATTTCTCCTAGGAAGAACAGGTAAGGGGCTTCTTTCAATCATCGCACCAGTTTAGATCAAAGCACTTAATAGGATCTGCATTTAGCCTTGTGGAATGACGGAAGGAAAACTTAGGAGTGTATTCACAGGAAATGTCCAGTGTCTGCCATAAGTCCCAACACAGCCATTCTGCTAACATCTATCACGGGGTCGCCCTGGATCTCAAAAAGCTATTTCTTTCCAATCAAACAGTATTAGTCAGTGTGCCATAAAAACAACCTCTCACAATTATGACTCATAAAACCATGAAGCTAGCACGGTTGGAATAAGACACAGAAAACAAAGCCATGACAACACGGAGCCTTAGAGGGGAAAGGAGGAGGGAGCAGGTCCTTTTAGAAAGCAACCACTTCTCCCAGAAAGAAGTTGAGTTGCCACTGAAACATAGATGCACCCTCAGAGAGGAAGGCCCAGGACCCCTGAGCTGTGGGTGGTGGGAGAGGCGGGTGCACTGCCATAAGCCTCCCCCTCAGCCACAGAGCGTCCCCAGAGTGGATACCGTCTGCCTTTTCCTACCAAACCAGGGCATCAGTATCTCCTGTGCACCTACAACGTGTCCGACACTCCTAGATATTTTCACCGTTATGTCGATTTATCCTCCCAACACTGTGAGGGTAAGAGGCATCATTTTGTGCACAAGGAAAACCAAGGCCCAGAGAAGTTGAGTGATTTCCCAAGGCTCGCTCAGCAGGAAGCAGAGATGGGATCTTACCTTTTCTCCACTAAGCTCAAAGGGTCTTCTGCTGAATCCCATCCCCCATTTGTATTGTTTATAGGGCCATCTCCTTCCGGTCTTACAGCCAGTGTGGGAGTCCAACCTCCTGGCCTCTGAGCTAAGGGGATGGGGGTGTCTGGGGTGATGCCTCTCCCTAACTGTATTTGTGATGAAAACAGGGCACTCCAGTTCCCTCTTGCCCAGCACCACCTCGTCAGATTCGACGGCGCGAGAGGGGTATGAGTCTAGGGGAGGAATGCTGGATTGGAAAGACCTGCTCCATTCACCCGGCAGCACAGACCCTATGGGGGCAGTGTCTTCCCATAATCACCAAGACAAGAAGGGTAAGGCCTTGGAATTGCCTCTTCCTCTGGGGGGAGAGGGAGGGAACAGTAGGGAGAACTCTGTAACTGCTTCCAGCAGGATCGCAGCCCGATGTAAGAAACCTCCAACACACAATGATTGAAAGCATCTCAAAAAAGACTGCAACCCAATCCTCTTGGCTAAGCTTGATCCTAAATTATTGCCCACGCAAGGAGAAACCACACAAAACAAATAGCACAGACGCTAAGCTTCCCCCACCCAAAAGAGGTGTGGCTTGGCCCAGCACAAATGCTGGCTCCCGAGACCCCCTCCGCCCTCTCCTGTAATCTGTGGGTCCTCTCTTCCCACCGCATTGGAATGAATGCAGTGAGGGCTTTGGCAAGTGCATGTAAGCAACGTCAAAGTCCGCTTAACCAGTGAATGGGGAAATGGCAGGGCACAGTCTTTTCTGGCTGGGAGCATCTCTCACTCTTGCCTGGCACTGCGTTTGAACAGAGCCAGGGTCCTGAGGCATCCTGTCACTGCCTCTAGGACAACAGCCAGAACAAAAATATGTGATGGAACCGAGCAGAGTTGCTATGCATGGAAAACGGAAAGGAAGCTGCCCTAAATGAAAGGGACTCTACTGTGAACCGTGCTACATTCTCCCTGGCTTTTTTTGCTCAACTTGAGACAGAAAATGTCATCTTTTTTTTTTTTTTTCCTTTTTCCTTGTCATTTGCTGCTCTGGTAACACAGCCACACAGCTTACTTTAGTTGCAACTGCAACCAAAGAGGCCTTCACTTGTCCAAAAAACCAGTCTTGTTAATCAGAGACTGAAAAGCCCAGTTATGTTGTGAGCTGTTTCCCACCCCTTCAGAACTGTTGACTCCTATATGTTTTCAAGAGTTTCACCCAAGCAGGGCCTGGAGTCTCAGGGCAGACCAGCCGCAGTGAAGGCAGCCTCCACCTGTCCTCCCTCGGGGTTTTCTGTGAACCACCCCCTTCTACTCGGAGAGGGTGTTCCCCAGGCAGACGTGCATGTGCAACCCCCACCCTTTTTGCATCTCATCTGAACGCCAGACCAATCTGTGAAGGAATTCGTAGCCCTTTCGACATGTTCTCAGGCCATGTCCCCTTAACCAATTTTATTCTTCTTCTGTAACTTCTTCGTACTGTGCCCTGCCCCAAATCTTTTTCAAGTGGCTTTTGTCTTCAGTGGCCTCCTTGCCCTTCCAAGAAAGCACCGGGCCGATCTGTGAAGGGACAGGCTGTCCCGCAGGCCACAAGCCCTCGCATGTGCCATGATTTGTTATGTGTGGCTCCAGACTTCAGAGGTATTCATTCGTCTTGGCCTGGTTCTCAAGAAGAGACAACCCAGAAAAAACACTGTGTTTGCCCACTGCGACTTCTAAAAAAAAACCAAAAAAAAACTAACAGCTTTTCCAGGAAAGCATTAAATATATCGGCCAAAATTTAGCTGTTGGTTACAATTGTTTTCTCTTCACTTCTCCTGAGGCTTGAATTTTCTCCAACTGTTAACTCCCCCAAGGGATGGAGGTTATCAAAGAGTCCAATTAACACTTGGACACCATTTCAGAATTCGGCATTGTTCATTCTCCCTCGGGTCTTATTATGAATATTGACAAAGCTGGAAGCAGTCTACAACTTGTCCAACAATGGTGGCAGAGGTGTGACTGCATGGGTGTTTAACATGATCACTGTTCTTGTGCTGTTCCCTCCTTGCCTTGCCCTGTCAAATTTGACTTTTGACGACTGTGTATTTGATTGGGCAAAGACAACGAGATGCTATGCAGAAAATTTTGGAAGATGTAGCTTTGATGTTCCTTTTACCATGATTTTTATTTATGATTTTAATTTCCATTTTTTGCTCTGACCTGTTTTTGTTTAATGATCATGATTTCTTTCGATCTTTTGTTTTCTTTTTGCCAAGCACTGTGTGTTGTGACTTGGTGGTGGCCTTCCTCTGTTGGAAAAGTCTTGTTTCTTTTCTGACTCATGATGACGTTCCTTAACCTGTCCCAATCTGTAATCCCCTCCCTGCTTCCCTGTCATCCCCTGGCGTGGGTGCCTTAATGACGTCACATCCGTGTGTACAGCCTCTCCTGGGATGCGAGAGTTTCCTGGGTTTGCCGAGAGCCTCTGGCAGGTGCTCTTGTCACTGGGTCGATTGTCTCATGGGAATGTGACATTTGTATGCGCCAGCTTCAGGAGCTAAATATACTCTGGAATTGTCTCTAAGATACTGCACATTTCCCCCACTAAGCAGAAAATGTGTCCGCTGACCAGCTAGCTGAGGAGTCAGGTGTCCAATGCCCTTTTTATTGTGGCCGCTGTGGGGGGGAAAAAACACACCCCAGTGAGTAGACTAGCCCACAGCTCTGCCCTGCAGACATGCTGACCACCACGGGCTAGTCCCATGCTCTGGCCAGTCACCTCCTCTTCCAAACAAGCTGCATTTCCAGAGTATGTTTGCTCGCCTTTTCTTTCCTTTCCCTTGCTGTTGTCTTTCGTGTTGATTTAATCCTGTGCGTCCCTCCCATTCTGTTAAAGCACCGTTCCCAGCCTTGCAATCTAACCCCCTTCTGCTGCCATTGTTCTTAGCCTCCCCCTTTCAAAAGAATAGACCCAAGCCCTCTGCCCCTCTGTGGAATGTTCCAAGGCTCTTTCCTTCTCTGCTGTGAGTGGCATTCGGATGTTGTCTGAATATCTAGTCATATTAACAAAGCGTGAGAAGAGCCCTGCAAAGCACACAGAAGCATTATCACAGAAAATGAAGTAATTTTCTCGCTCAGTAACTGGCCTTGCCCTTCATTACCCTCCTGGCCTTGTCTAATGTCTCCTGTCCTTGCTGCTTTTCTTTAAAATTGCCTGATATCTTTCAAGCCCTGGATTCATTAGTAAAAACACAGCCAACTGCTCTGTTTTATCTCTTGGTCCCTAGATGTCTGGAGCCTCCACAGCCAGCCCTTTAATCGCCATGTTGATAAATTAGATGCAGCCCTGGCTACTTCCTTCTTAGTTTTGCCACATTTAAAAATATATATTTATATGTATTCTTCCTATAACGATTGAGGTAGTGATCAGTAGTTACAAAGGGGCTGTAATTACATGTGAATAAGAAAGAAAATCCAGTGTATTTTTAGATCTGGCTTGTCGCCCCTCACCACCAAACCCTTCCCACAGCAAAAAAAATAAATAAAAACTTCTTTTCTTAGGGTAAGCAATACTGAGGATTAATAGTCACTCTTGTGCTTCTTGTTTCTGACCAAAAGTAACAATTACCATAAAACTTGATTTCCAAGAAGACTACAAGGTATTGGGAGGAAATTAGCCATGTACAGATCTGCCTAGCGAGCTGGGTAGCATAAATGTAAACTATAGATGCTGACCGTTGGGATGCAAGAATAGATCAGAAACAGAAGAAAATCTCCTACTTCAGACTTTATTTTATAGAGTTCCTGTGAGCTCTCGGAAAATAGACGGCATACTCGATCTGTGCGATGTTCCCCTTTGATTGGAAATGCCAGAATTGTAGTATGCTTATTTATTCTGGGAAATCTTTAAAGTGAAATACTATCACATTATCACATTTAGTCAAGATATGCTTGTTATAGACATGGAAAAGATATAGAAACAGAATTTAAACAAGAAATCAAATGAATAATTTAAACTAAAATGTACAGTAAATGTTGAATATATTCTAATCAATGTACGAGCTATTTGTATAAACAGTTTTCAGTCTGCCCGGTAAGATTCATAAGGTCTATAAAGGATAATGAGTATATTATCCACACTCCATAACAATCCGGAATGGAATTTTATAAATCACAGGGTTTATTAACAATCCTCTTTATAATCAATTATTTATTCCTCAAAGGCACCTTAGCCCACGGCAGCACTGCCTCCAGGTTGGACATGCAGCACCTTCCATAAGATGCTTTAAGTGGCTCGGGGTCTCACGATTTCAAGAAACCTGTGGTGGAGAGCCACACCATTTTCATTTCTCTTTCCACTTTATTGGTGATGTCAAGGAAAAGTCTCAGTTTGGTGCTTTATCATTAACAAGTCCCTAAACATGCTCCTGTCTCTTTTGACAAGAAAAAAATTGGCTTTAGGTTGTGGGCTTTGACTTGCAGCCAGAAATAGCTGAAATTAATATTGTTTTTGCTTTCGTGAATTTTATTTTTGTAGCCACCTTTTATCTATGAAAAGGGATACTTTTTTCCATGTCTGGTAATGATGTAAAGTTTCCATTTGAAATACATTGTAACGGAAATATGGAGTAAATAACAAGTAAATAATATAGTCCATGAGAATCACTGGTAGCACTAACATTGGAGTATTGGTAGCATTGGTAGCTGAATGATTCCAATTTGGGTAACTCTGCCTACAGTAATTAAAATACTCCATCGAGGATAAAACTACTACTGAAACTTTGCTCCTGGCCTTTGGAAGAACAAAATTTTAATAATCACTCCACCTTCTGTTGGCTGGGCTCTAAACATTCCAATTACATTGTCTAGTGCTCTTTTGATTTCTTCTCCAACTACTAAGCTTTTGTGATTGGCAATGAAAAGTTTGGTCAAGGAGGAATTTAGAGTAAAATGAATTTAAACTTAAAAAAAAAAAAAAAAGTCATTCTGGGCTTGTTGAGCATCTGGTGAGATTTTTCTCCAGACAGCAGTGAGCAGCGGAGTGTAGACTGCAGCTAGCTATTACCCAAACTGTGGCCTGGGGGCGAGTTTACCCTCAGCGCTTGGGCTACTTTCCCTGTCTGGAAGCACTCCTGTGTTACCGTCCCTCCCTTGGCCTGGCAATAACCTACACTTGACCCTTCTTCCCTTTCTCTCATTCAAACTTTACCTATTCCGAGTCCCAGACCATTAGAGCTCAGCTTCCTTCATTAACAAGCTTAGAAACCCGGCTTTGAGTCTATTTGCGAATAGAACCTAGCCCTGATCACTCTTCCATGTTAACAAACTCCAATGTTTAAAATCTCATGGGTTGGGGATTGTA